TGCTCGGTCTTCTCCGTTCACCTTAATTCCTTGGCCGTGGGGAGGAATCACTCCCTCGCGGAGCAGGGGTGATGGCAGCGCGAGGTGAACGTCGACGGTGAGGCTATTGGGATGATGCTGACAGCGGCAGGTTTACGTCAGCCGAACTTCCGGTACATCAGACGACGGGAACGGACGGGAACTCTAATTGACAGCTTTTACAGCAGCGAAGCTTGTCTCGCATGAAGTTCAGACGAATTTTTTCCTACAGAGTCTTGCTCGATGGCCGTTCTGGCGATCAGTCATGCGACCCAGCCGCAAGAGCCCCAGAGCAACAACGGAAACGGGGCAAACTGCGGGCCCCATGGCAGGGAAGGCCAAGGGGAAGGCGTCCAAACCTTCTATGGACGATGGCCGTCGACGTCTCTTCAGAGGTGACCGGGCGGGCGTTTAAGCACTCCACAGGTTGCGGTGCCTTCACACGTTCGGATCCCACATCACGGCAACCTTGGCTTGGACCTCCGCCCGCCCAACACTTAGCGCGCCAGGACTCTGTTTCCACCTTATCCCTTCTCGTATGGAGATCCTCCTGCTCGCGTTCGGTTCCTATTCGCCAGCGCCCTCTCGGCCTCGACGATGTCGTCGGTTCCCCTGGCAGACTCTATCGGGCCACACCGTACCTGCGGGATGGCGCAGCCCAGCGGGGGGCTCCCAGGTTTGCACTCCTCGATGGACCTGTGTCTCCTGGAGGGAGGACCGCAGCACTTGGCATCGAGTGAGCGTATATACAAAATGAACAAGTTTCTCCCTCCTCTTGTTTGTTTGGGACTCTCTCTCCAACGTCGCTCTCGCAAATCACCAAGAGTTGCCTTTCGTTCTTTTCCTTTAGTCTTTTCAGTGCGTTGTCCTAATAACAGATACGGTCCTTCTTTCATACGTATCTGATAATCACACTCACTCCACATACACTCACTCAACACTTACTACACTCATTCGACACAACATGGTTCGCTCAAACACTTACACGGCACTCGCTGCCGCCACACTCTTTTCACAACTGTCCTCCGCGGCCATCACCAAGTGCCCCAACGAGGAGGCCGTCTGGGAGACCCCCATCGGCGTCAAGTACACCGTCTGCCCCGGCTCCGACTACCAGTATGGCGGCAACAGCCTCCAGGTCGTGAAGGATGTGGCCTCGACCAAGGACTGCGTCCAGATCTGTGATACGGATGCCCGCTGCTACCGTGCCGTCTACGACACGGAGGACAAGCTCTGCCACGTCAAGGACAACAAGAACAACATGAACTGGGCCGCCGACGGCCGCTTCGTCTCCATCCGCATGACCAACGACCTGCCCGAGGGTTCCTTCCTCGCCACCTGCCCCTTTGACGAGGAGTCGTACAAGGTCCCCAACACCGACAAGGAGTTCCGCGTCTGCCTCAACACCGACTACACCGGCACCAGCGTCAAGATGGTCAAGGACGTCACCACCGTCCAGGCCTGTGCCGAGCTCTGCTCCAACACCAAGGACTGCACCAAGTCCGTCCACGACAACATCAACAATGTCTGCCACATCAAGGGCGCCGAGCCCGCCAACTCGCTCTTCTGGGTCCAGGACAAGCAGTTCACCACCATCCACGTCCCCGAGACCTACAACCCTGCCGTCGAGGGCAAGTGGGGAGACCTCATCCGCTTGCCCGTCATCCCCGTCGCGGCCTACATCGTCCCCGCCTACCCCCAGCCCGACAGGCTGCTCTTCTTCTCCTCCTGGGGCAAGGACGCCTTTGGCGGCGCCTCTGGCATGACCCAGTACGGCGACTACAACTTCGCCACCGGCGAGATCTCCCAGCGCACCGTCACCAACACCCACCACGACATGTTCTGCCCCGGCATCAGCCAGCTCCAGGACGGCCGCATCGTCGTCCAGGGCGGCTCCGACGCCGAGGCGGTCTCCATCTACGACCCGGCCACCAACAACTTCACCCGCGGCCCCGACATGAAGATTGCCCGCGGCTACCAGACCTCGACCACGCTGTCCAACGGCAAGATCTTCACCATTGGCGGCGCCTACTCTGGTCCCCGCGAGGGCAAGAACGGCGAGATGTACGACCCTGAGACCAACGAGTGGACCCTGCTCAACGGCGCCGACGTCAAGCCCATGCTTACCGTCGACCACGAGGGCATCTGGCGTGAGGACAACCACGCGTGGCTCTTTGGCTGGAAGAACGGCAGCGTCTACCAGGCCGGCCCCAGCAAGGACCAGCACTGGTACGGCACCGACGGTGACGGCTCCGTCATGAAGGCGGCCACCCGCGACGACCAGAACGCCATGTGCGGCGTCTGGGTCATGTACGACGCCGTCGCCGGCAAGATCCTCTCCGCCGGCGGCAGCCCCGACTACACGGACAGCGTCGCCAACAAGCACGCCCACATCACCACCATTGGCGAGCCCAACACCCCCGCCGAGGTCGAGCGTGTCGCCGACATGGCCTTCCCCCGCGGCTTCGCCAACGCCGTCGTCCTTCCCGACGGCCAAGTCCTCGTCACCGGCGGCCAGCGCAAGTCCCTCGTCTTCACCAACACGGACGGCATCCTCATTGCCGAGCTGTTCAACCCCGAGACCAAGGAGTGGAAGCAGATGGCGCCCATGGCCGTCCCCCGCAACTACCACTCCGTCTCCATCCTGATGCCCGACGCGACCGTCTTCTCCGGCGGCGGCGGCCTCTGCTACGTGCAGACCATCCTCGGCTCCACGGCCAAGTGCGACAAGACGGTCGACCACGCCGACGGTGAGATCTTCCAGCCGCCCTACCTCTTCAACGCGGACGGCACCCTCGCGGCGCGCCCCAACATTGCCACCATCGGCACCGACCCCGTCAAGGCCGGCGCGACCATCACCTTCACGGTCGAGAACTGCGAGGGCCCGGCCAAGGTCGCGCTGATCCGCACCGGCAGCGTCACGCACTCGTCCAACACGGACCAGCGCCGCATTCCCCTCGACTTTCAGGTCAACGGCAACGAGTACTCGGCCAAGCTGCCCGAGGACTACGGCATCCTCCTCCCCGGCTACTACTACCTGTTCGTCTCGAACGCCAACGGCACCCCCAGCGTTGCCAAGACCGTCCACGTTGTTTTGTAAGCGTTGATTTACTACTGGATGGATAGACTATAGACAAAAGCGACAGAAGGATAATACCCCCGATAGACTACTTAATGTATAGTATAAGGTCGCGCCAAATGATGCGATGGTACTGTGACGACGTAATGAAAGAAGACTAAGATTAGAACATGGTTGCTCGCGCCGTAACGTTGATGTATGGCGATACGTTCCAGTGGGGGCCAGATTCAGCCCAAGTTTAGAGCCTCCAATCTACCCGTGACCGCGCATTCCAACGTGAAGTCGACCGAGACCTGTGAGATTTCTGTACCTGGCGCGCCAACGACCGGTTCACCGACAAAGGGGCGGCGGCTGCTGGACAAAGCCAGCGGTCGCCGGCGTGGGGGATCAGCGGTGGCGTCGTCGGACGAGATGCCGAGGACGTTGACTGATTGGGCTGGTCTGCACGTGCATTAGACGCCGTGTCTACCGGCCGGCCGTTGTTCGTCCCAATGGTCAGCAAAGCTCCGGGGCGCGTCGAGTCTGCGACGGGAGCAGCGTCCTCCGAACGTTGTTGAATGGATGCTGCTGGCTGAAAGGTGAACGATGACGCCATGCTGCATTGTAAAGATAGCGAACGGTGGGGAACAGGCTCACCACGCGACCTGCTGTTCCCACAATGCGCCGAACATCGACCGTCTAGCGTCCCTGGCGCCGTCTCGCCAGAATACAGCGCTTGTTTCAGCGGTCGCCGGCGCTGAGCCACATCCGCGTTCACAGACCTTCCGGGGAGGTCACCCTCACCGAGGTCTGTGGTGGTGAGATAGCCTTACCTTTCTTTGGCCTACCTAGGTTTGGTTTTCGAACAGTGGCAGCCTCTCGAATCACACCACCAGAGATGGGCATTCTCAGCACTACCGAATTCTGCTCTTCATGTATACGACACGACCCTCATTTAATTCATGCAGCCCTCCCCCGCCGATGGCACGTCGCCGTCTTCGTCAGCTGAGAGAGGCTCGGTGTGCACGGCGGGCAAAGCAGCATCATCCCAACGGCCTCCCCGCGGCGGGCACTAAATCCCATACCCAGGCCTCTGGAGCAGGTCTCAGAAAGAAACGAGAAACGAACGACGGCGCAACTCCAATCTCCCCCTGGAAACTTGACTTTCTGGTATTCCTTTTCGGAGAGCGTCTGTGGGTGAGTGTGTGTGTTGCAACCGTCGAGCCGGCCGTTCGTTCGCCCCGCAAAATAAAGCCGATTACATCTCACAAGACTAGCCCCCGTCCCCCCCATGCCGTCCGTGATCAATGATCCCTCACTCTCATCCCCCCATGTTACGTACGTCGAGGGAAAATAAAACAACAAAACATCAACAAAAACACCAGCCCGCCCACCCTCGTCCCTGCCTCACCACACACTTTCCTTATCGCACGCTTCCGTCTCCTTTTCTAGACCAAGCCGTAGAAGGCCATTCCAGCGCATACCCTTCCCCCCCGCCGGCATCCGAGACCACGCGCCGCATCGGCCGATCTGTGACCTCGTGGGTGCCTACATCACACTTGGCGCGGCGTGACTATCCTTAGATCCAAAAAGTGCCTCGAGAGTGCCTGTCTGCCTCCCTCGTACTACAGCAAACGAAAGCCACACCCGACGGCACCCACTACGTACCAAACATCGCATCGTGCCTCGAGTACTCGGACCACTCCTCCAGCCCAAGACTAGCACGACAGCCACATCCAGGAACCACAGCACACACACACGTCGTCCAGCTCGTCTCGCGAATTCTTCAACAACATTCCGGGCCCCCTTTTTCGTCACTCTCGGTCACCATCGCCGACTGCCCGAATCGAACCGATTCCGACCGATCACCAGCGCGCGACCGCGCTTCTCCCTTCTCCCCTACTCTCTCTCCCTGCCTCTCAGAATGTCGTCCCTCGAGGCAAAGATCGTCGTCCTCGGCTCCCAGAATGTCGGCAAGACGAGCCTCGTCATGCGGTACTGCAAGGGCTCCTTCAACCCGGCACAGACGACGTCCACCGTCGGCGCGAGCTTCATGACCAAGCGCGTCGTCGACACCGATACCGACACCATGGTGCGCCTGCAGATCTGGGATACGGGTACGTCTTGCTCTCCCCATTGTTCTTTACGTATCGACTAACAAACCCAGCCGGCCAGGAACGCTTCCGCTCCATATCGCGCCTCTACTACCGGGGCGCCAACGCCTGCATCCTCTGCTACTCCATCACGGACGCCCAGTCCTTCACCGAGATGGGCATCTGGCTGACCGAGCTGCGCCGCAACCTCCCCGGCGACGTCGTTCTGCACGTCGTCGGCACAAAGGCAGACATTGTCGCCCGCGACCCCTCCCGCCGCGAGGTGCCCTTCGAGCGCTGTATAGCCTACGTCGCCGAGAACCTCGCCCCGGGCCTGGCATCCACGCCGCCGCCCACGGCCACACCGACAGGCATGCCCTCGCATCTGTCGTCCTCCGACCCGCGGACGTCCTCGTCGCAGGTGCACAGCCAGTTTGGCAGCGGCGGCGGCGGCGGCGAGCCGCGGAGCCCTTCGTCGAAGCGCAGCTCGGGCTTCTGGGGCCAGGAGGTCGGGTGGGACGCGTGCCACGAGATCAGCGCCGAGAGCGGCGAGGGCGTGGAGGAGGTGTTCCGCGTGGTGACGCGCAAGCTCGTCGAGCAGAACCGCAAGATGCAGCAGGCGCTGCTCATGGCGACGGCCACCCCCGGCACTCCGGGCTATGAGTCCGGCATGGACGGCGGCTACTTTGACGGCATGAACCCGCGCGGCAGCTTCCGCGTGGGACGGGACCGGCGCAGTTGGCTCTTTTCGCCCGGCTTCTCGCCCGCCGTCACCGTCGAGCAGGGAGGCACGGAGCAGAATACCGATGATGGCGCCGCCAAGGCGCGGAGGAAGTGTTGTTGAGTCAGGCTCTGGAAGATTGGGCCTTTCATTCTGCAACGTGAGACGACGGTACGAAGAGACGGATATTTGACGACTGTTTTTTTGGGCATTCTGAGACGAACGACACGATCCGGACTGGCTGAGGACATAATCATGCAGTACACGACAAACCACATTTCTGGATCAAGCATGGTGCGAGGCGTTTGGGCATGGACTATTGGGCTTTTCTTCAAAGGGGATCACGGCACAGGGTTTGATTTTTGCATGCGGCATCACTGCATGGCTGTTTTACGGGACTGGGTTTTACAGAGAGAGCATCTCTCGCGAGAAAGCATTGTTTTGGTGGCAAAGGGGTTTCCTTTCTATCCTTGTGTATAGTTTCATCATGAGCGCGGGCTGCATTCGTCATAGCATGGCTTGGCTCCATCTAATACCATCATGTCATCAAGGCCTTACGCCCGAGAGGCACCACCACCGCTCTGCTGTGCCTGTGCCTTCTTGGACTTGTCTACATCGTCGTCCACCACGGGCGCCGTCGGGATGTCGATCCCGCCGACCCTGTACTCTAGCCCTACATAAGCATCGCTGACGACGAGCACATCGAGCTTCCTGCCCTGAGCGGCTTCGGGCACCTTGAAGTTGGCGCGGGCCGTGGGCTTGGAGCCGACGGCGACGCTTCTGCCGGCGCCCTGAGACCAGCCCGCGCGCTTGACGGCGATGACCTCGTCCCGGGCCGCGTCGGCCAGGACGACAAACCAGCCTTCATTTTGCGGCTTCGGGAAGCGCGGTGCGTAGACGTGGGCGTCGCGCTCCGTCAGGGGGTTCAGACGGCGGAGGTCGACGGACACCGACAGCGCGGTCGTCTCCGGGACCGACACGGCGAGGTTCGGGAGCTGTGCGACGGCCTTTGCGAAGCGAGGCTGCTGGTGCGGCGCGACGGAGAGCTTCTTCGCCAGCTGCGTAATTTTGCCCGGGGATCCCAGAGCGCCAATCTTGGCGAGGGTCAGGTCCGACGTGTCGTTCTTGAGCGTGTCCACGCCCACGCCGGGAAGAATGGAGGCCGGGTGGTCGGTGGGCCAGCGAGCTGACTTGATGCACTGCAGGAGCTTGATGAACTCGAGGCAACTGGAAAGGTGGCCCAGCTCCGTGAGGACGTCGATGGAGGCCTGGATAATACGGATGGCCTGGTCAAGCACGCTGGTCTGGTCACCGACGTAATCCGTGATGGGCAGGGAGATGCGCGACATGTGCGCCTGGAGCAGGAGGAAGGCCTTCACATGGGGGTCCCACATGGGCAGGCCAAAAGAGTTGCCAGAATAAGTCAGGTTGCGGGACAGCTCGTCGTTGATGAGGTCTTCGTTGTGGCGGACCGGGAGCTCATCGTACTCGGTCGCGCGCGACATCCACGACAGCACATCGAGAAAAGACGCCTGGGCCTTGGCGTGCTTGACGAGGTGGCGGATGGTCTTGTGAGAGAGGTAGTAGTAACTCATAATCTTGCCAAAGGGCGTGGGGTCGACATCGCCGTTGGGGAACACCTCGACGCAGCTGGACTTTGCCAGCTCACCCAGGGACTTTTCAATCATCTCAATCATGTAGTCGTTGGCCATCGTCTGCGCGGCGATGCTGTTGTGCTCCTCGGCGGAGATCTCGAGGCCGTAGTACGAGGGGTTCTTGTGCAGGCGGCGGAAGAAGAACGTCCACGTGAGGTAGTCCAGGGCGTCCTGCTTCGTGATGACAGTCTCGGCCGAGACTTCGGCGCACAAATGATTGTCGAGGACGGTGTGGAGGGAGGATTCCACGGGGAAGCCGGTGTGTAAAAAGTGCTTGTAAAAGTCCTTTTTGGCGTCTTGTGTAAAGATGCGCGCCACGCCCGAGTTGTCGAACTGCGGACGGCCGGCGCGGCCCAGCATCTGGAGGACATCTGTCAGGTCCATGTCCTTGTAGCCCTCGATCTTGGCGTCGTAAAACTGCGTGCCCTTGACGACGACGAGGTGAGCGGGCAAGTTAACGCCCCAGGCGAGGGTACTGGTCGCGACCAGGATCTGGATCTTGTTGTTGAGGAAGAGCTCCTCGGCGAGCTGACGGTCAGACTCGACGAGACCGGCGTGGTGCAGGCCGATGCCGAAGCTGATGGCTTCCTTGAGGGCGTCGTCCTTGACGCGGGCGAGGTTGAGCTGCAGGTCGTCCTCGTCCATGTGGAGGAACCGTCGTGGGTTGTCCTCCATGCCGCAGTAGTTGATGAGGTCCTTGGCCGTCAGGCGGGTCTGCCTTCGAGACGGGACGAACACGATGACGGGCTTGTCGGGGCTGTGCGTCTTGACCGCGAGGAACGTCGGGCGGTTCATGGACTGCATCAACGGACAGAACCCCCTGGTCTCGGGGAAGCCGTCAATGTAGAGCTCCAGCGGGACGGGGCGGACCGAGTGTCGGAAGTTGAAAAGGCCCTCCTTGACGCCGAGCCAGTTGCCCAGGTCCGTCGCGTTTGCGCAGGCCGTCGACATGCCGAGCAGGCGGACCGAGTTCTTGATGGACGCCGCAATGTAGTTCATGCGCGAGACGATGATCTCCAGAATCGGGCCGCGGTCGCCGGCGAGCAGGTGGATCTCATCAATGATGACCAGGCTGACCTGGCGGACGTAGCCTCTCGTCTGCCAGCTACGGGAGATACCGTCCCACTTCTCAGGGGTGGTGATGATTACGTCGGCGTCCTTGATCGTGCGCGTGTCGGGCGTGTTGTCACCCGTCAGCTCGACCAGCTTGAGGCCGAGGGGCCGCGCAAGCCGGGCACCCCAGTCCTTGACACGCTCGCGGACGAGGGCCTTCATGGGGGCGATGTAGACGACCTTTGACCCGGGGCGCTCCTTGAACGCCCACCACATGGCGAGCTCCGCCGCGACTGTCTTGCCGCTGCCCGTGGGCGAGCCGAGGAGGACGTTTGCAGGCGTGTGGTAGAGGGTGTGGAAGATTTGCGTCTGCATGGGGTTGAAGAACTGGAAGCGCTGGGCGTAAATCTCCTCGAGGGCCGGGTTCTTCAGGGCGCTGATGGGCAGCGGCTGCAGGTTCAGGAGGTCGGTGTAGACGCTCTCCGTGTCGGGGCGGATGAGGTGCTGGAAGGAGACGGGCGTGACCGTCTCGGCGCCGAGCCACCGGTCAGAGACCGCCCGCACGTAGATTTGGTTCGGCAGGGGGTCGGAGAGGGGAATAGTGAAGTTGAGCTCGTGGTCGTCGTGAATCTTTCTCCTGTTGAGGATGAAGAACTCGTGGTGGTAAATCTCGGACGTCTCCGAGTTCTCGACCCAGATGTAGTACGACTCGGACGTGCCGTGGACATGGTCGTTCCACTTGAAGTCTGGGTAGATGAACAGCTTGATGCGGAGGACGTCGCGGTTAAGAGGGGCGATCTCAGCCTCAACGCTGACCGTGGGAAAGTTGTTGAGAATGTGGGCAATTTTCTTGCCGGCGCTCTGGTTGTGGACGAGGCTGCCAATCTCTGCGGGCTCCATGTCCCTCATGGCCTCGATCGACAGGTTGTCCTTGGCGTCGAGCTGGTTGAGCACTGACTTGGGAAAGTCAAACTGGTGCAGGGGGTGCTGGAACGCCCAGATGCGCTTCTCGATCGACTTGGCCAGCGTGAGCAGGACCAAGCACTGGTGGCCCCATCTCCTATTCAGGGCAATCATGAACAAGGCCCTGCAGATGCGGCCGGCCTGCTGGGCCACGTAGTTCAGGTCGTTGCCCAGCGCAAAGTCCTCCGGCTGGGCTCTGCAAATGTACGCCTGAAGCAGAATGTTCGTCTTGGCCTGGGGCGTGTCGATGCCGCTGTCGACCTCGCAGGGCACCACGTCATACTTCATCTTGGTAAGCTCCTTTTCCTCCGAGTCTCTCGACTGGATATTGTCAAACTCTCCGCTCATGCTAATCATTTTGAGGATGTCGGCCTCGGTGGCTTGCGGCTGCATCATGGTGTTGAAGATCTGGATGCTGGTGTGCAGGATGTAATACTGGCTTGCAATGCGGCCAATGTCCTTGCTGCGGAGCTCCTCGGTCACCTCGTTGAAGATGATCATCTGGCTCTGCTGTAGCGTGCGGGCCGCCTGGATCGCCAGCGTGCGGCGCCTCTGGACGAGCGTCGGGTCGTCCCTGATCTCAGCCCACTCGATGCCGTAGCTCATGGGGCTCCGTTGCATGCGGACGAACAGGTACGAGTAGCCGATCCACTGGACGGCCTCGGGGATGGACGTCACCGTGCCCAGCGCGATCTCGGCGTTGAGGTTGTCGACCAGCTTCGTCGAGAACTTGGACTCGATCGGCTGCTGCTCCGTGACGGTGGTCAGGTAGTGGTGGAGCCTGTCCTGTGTCGTGCAAATCATGCCAATACCGGTGTCCTCGAACTGCGGACGACCGGCACGACCAAAGATTTGCAACACGTCGAGGATGCCGAGGTCGACAAACTTGCCGTCCTGGGCGCTATAGACCTGGGTGCCCTTGATGACGACGGCCGCGGCGGGCAAGTTGACACCCCACGCGAGCGTCGCCGTACAGCAGAGCACTTTGAGGACTCCTTCGGCAAAGAGCCGCTCCATCAGGTTTCTGTCGGAACGGGCCATGCCGGCGTGGTGCACGCCGAGACCTTTTGGGATCAGCTCGCGCAGGTCCCGCGCCTTGGACGACTTCATATCGCGCACCGCGTTCTCGTACCCGGGATGCATGGTCGGGTCGAGGAGATCGACGCAAAAGTCTTCCACGGCCTTCTCGTACAGCATCTTGGCCGTGGCCATGGTGTCTCTCCGCGAGTGCACAAACACCATGACCTGGTGGTCCCGCTGGAGCATGTCTCTGACCTTTTCGAAGGCGACCTGGTCCAGGTTCTCCTTGGACTGCTTCGAGCCGGCCTTGCCCTTGACGCCGATGAAGTGCTGCTCCAGCGGCACTGGGCGGAAGGAGGCGTCAAAGTAAAAGAGACCCTGGTACCGGTTGACCTTGAGGAAGTCGGCCACATCAATGTAGTTGGGGAGCGTGGCACTCAGACCGACGATGCGGATCAGCGACTGGGTGCTTTCCACCTGGCGCTCCGTTCTGGCAACGAGCGACTCCAGCACGGCACCGCGCTCGTCGTGAAGCATGTGAACCTCGTCGATGATGAGGAGGCGGACCTTTTGCACCAGCTCGGTGTCGCCGGTGCCCTTTCTCGTGACGACGTCCCATTTCTCAGGGGTCGTGACGATGATTTGCGTCTGGACGATTTCGGCCTTGGTCAGGTGCATGTCTCCGGTGAACTCGCGGCACTTGATGCCAAGCCAGGCCAGTCGCTTGCCGAGCTTCTCGGTGACTTCCGCCGCGAGCGCCTTCATCGGGGCGACGTAGACGATCTTGAAGTCTTGCGCGTCAACTGCAAAGTCTGTGGTGGCCGGGTCCTCGATGGGATTGGGCGTGCAGTAGTGGCCGATGGTTTGCAGGATGGTGAGCATGGCGGCGTCCGTTTTACCCTGCACCCGTCAGCATCGCCACAGCTTGAGGGGATGACAACTTACAGCACCAGTGGGCGCGCAGATAAGCATGTTCTCGTTCGTCCTGTATGCCACCGGATGCACCAGACTCTGCATGCGGTTGAGCGTCTTGTACCCCTTGAAGGTCCCGCGGCAGAGGCCATCCATGTCGGATATCTTGACCAGCTTCTGGCCGGGGCCCAGGACGCCCTTCTTCCCCGCAGGAATGGCGTACTCTTCGTACTTTTCGAACTGCAGCCTCTCACTCCCCGTGGGGAGCGCATACTTCTTGCCAGAGTGGCTGAGAGAGTTCCCGGCATTGTACGCCTTGTAGACGTGGGGGTACTGAATCTCCTTGGTCATGGTCGGAGCGAGGGCCGCATTCTTGTGCTCGTAGTCCTGGCGTCTCAGCGCCTCCTCGCGCTGGGATTTGGTCAACAGTCGCCCAGTCGCCTCCTGGCCCCCCTGTGAGCTGACGGCGGTCACAATCTCGTCGCGGTGACCGAGCAGCTCAATGATGAAGTCAAAGTCATCAAAGCCGATGAGGTCAGCCAGCTGCGACTGCAGCTCCTCGTCGCCCCGGCCCGAGGTCAGCACGCTCATGACCTGGCTCTGGAACACATCCTCGGCCAGGCCATTCTTCGCAGCAATGCCGGAGCACTTGCTCGCAAACCAGGCAGCGCCGTACGCGCCGTCTCCGTTGAGTGCGTCCGGGCCGTCGAGCTGGTCACTGCTATAGTCGCCTTCGTCGTCGTCATCTTCAATAAAGTCCCACACGTCCTGTGCGCCGTTTCCCGAGGAGTACCCCTCGTAGTCGTCGTCAAAGTCCACTTCAGATGGTGGCGCAGACGGCAGCTTCAGACCGGCCAGGGCCGTCTTCATGGCTTCGAATTGAGCCCGCCATTGGGCTTCGGCGGTGTCGAGGTCTGCGGGTGCCATTGTGAGTGAGTGTTGTATGAGATGTGAGTGGTGATGGACTTGGGTGTGTCCGTCGACGACGATGAGATATCATCTTCATGATACTGCACTAAACACTGATAGAGGAGTCATTCACCGAGCAAAGTGGGGCGAATCAGCCCGCAGTGTCGTCTCTGCAGCAGTGGTGTCGTTCAGCCAGTGACGTCCGTCTGTTGGTGGGGGGTTCTGGCCGTCCCCCGCCAGGCACTCGAGACACTGTACGGATGCAGCGCTGACCGCCACCCTCCGCTGATGTGGACGGAGGTGAGGGCCATCCGAGCCTCCGACGACCATTGTCCTTTATGCATAAGCCCAGCCATTGACATGCTGGACCTGATGAGGCAAGGTACGCCATCATGCCGTAAATCCAGACGTCGACCCCCTGTAGCGAACTCAAAGGGCACCCATCCACACCAGGTCGGGTGCCGCACCACCTTAATTGTTCTGCAGCCTGGAGGGGCAGAGCCAGGCCAAGTTCCCCTACTTTAGTGGGCATGTGATGTATCGCCCGCCCAAGACAGCGGCCTGCCGTACGGCCAATCCCACCATAAACCTTGACGTCGCGGAGACGTTCTCCATCTTCCTCCAACTTGGACAATCCCCTTTCTCCATTTCTCATATCAATTCCGCCAACTCCTGACATTTACCCCCGCGATACTGCCCTTTGCCTCACCCGACGACCTCGAATCGCGTTGACACACAACACCGCACAGCGCATCGCCCACACGACACCGACTTGTTCCCCCGCCCCTGAAATACCGCCGTAAGTCCAGTCGGACCTCCCCTCCCCGCCTAGACCGCCACAGGCACCACGACGATGACGATAAACTGACAGAGCAAATCGACCAGAAAATGAAGCTTCACTACATTGGCGTACGTCGACCGTCCACGCGCACTGCTCTCCGGCACAACCCGCTGACGCCATGCGCCCCCGTGTAGATCCTCCGCAACGACAGCAAGCCGGCTGTCGAGCTGTGCAGTGAGATGGAGCTGTCGGCATACTCGCGATTCACAAGAAGTACGTTTGCGACAGCACCACGGACATGGGCGGCAGCCTCGCAGACAGGCACCAGCGCTGACAGGATTGCGCCGCAGACAGCTATGCCGAGTTCATGACCCTCTTCTCCAAGAAGGTTGCCGAGTCTACCCGTCCCGGCCAGAGACAGGATATCGAGGAGGGCGACAACACGTTCCACTGCGTGGGAAGGAGCGAAGGCATCTGCGGCGTGTAAGACGTTTCGTCCTGTGTAAAGTGCGGCGGCTGATCATGCGGCGTAGCATCATTTCCGACCACCAATACCCCAGTCTAGTAGCCCACCAGCTTCTCTCCAAGATCGTCGACGAGTTCCTCACCAAGCACCCGCGCTCCACGTGGGCCACCGGCGAGCCCAAGCTCGCCCTTCCCGAGCTCAAGGAGTACCTCACCAAGTATCAAGACCCCCAGCAGGCCGACTCCATCCTCAAGATCCAGAAGGAGCTTGACGAGACCAAGATTGTCCTGCACAAGACCATCCAGAGCGTGCTGGAGCGCGGCGAGAAGATTGACGACCTGGTTGCCAAGAGTGACGGCCTGAGCTCCCAGAGCAAGATGTTTTACCGTGAGTCTGCCGGTGAAGTCACAGGAGGGCTTAGACTAACACACCCAAAGAACAGGCAAAGAAGCAAAACTCGTGCTGCGTCGTCATGTAAAGCTGGTCTTCTCGTAACCCCCTTATCCTCATCCTCCTTGGTCATTTCACGTCTGGCGTTGGACGTTTGGACTCGTTTCAGCATAAACACTCGCTCCGGTCACGCTCGCTAGGATTGCAATGACAGAAACATCTTGCAGAGTCGGGCCTTTCGAATGCCTCATCAGTCTTGTGGAATGAAGGCCCGTGTTCATATTTCCGCAACTTGCGAACGATAGTTCAGGAATAATACAACATTGTGTGAACACACCTGAGACATCCCTTGGCAGTGACATACTTCACATTGGCGCTTAGTCACGCGGCGGCACATCCAAACTCATCAGAACTTGTTTATATAGGTTTTAAGCTTTAGGATTATCTACCCAAAAAGCTTCCGTCGATCATGGATGATTCAAGACTGGATAAAAATGAACAAATCAGACTGCCCGTCCAATGTACGCGCCGCGCCCCTAGAGGTGAACCCCTTGAACAGTGGTATCGATGCGACAACCCTCGAGGTTGTATTAGAGAAAATGGAACAACAAACAACACGCCCCCCAGTGTCCTCTCAAAGTGTTTGTCAAAGTCGCTTGCAGACCGTTTTTTCTTTTGGTTGAACCCACACACACACCGCTCAAAGCAAACAAATGAAACAAGAAAAAGCAGCCCAGCTCTCCAAGCATAATCGTCTCGACGCAAAAAAGTGGTCCTCCAGAGTAATAGGGTTTCGAGAATGTAATAGTCAAAAGGGGTGATTTTGAACATGACGGCCTGGGCGTCGAACGAGTGGACGAAGGGAATCGTGAAAAGAAGTGTCCATGAAGTGGGAAGGTCGTGATAGTGTTGTCACATAAAGGGACATAATAGTGGCGAAGGTAATCATTCTCCCTCGACAATGATGCGCTCGCTCTTGCGGTTCTGCGCAATCTGCTGCTCAAACGTCTCCCCGGGGCTGATGAGCGTCGGCGTCGAGCTCTTTGTCGACGAGAGGCGCTCGTTCCGGCCAATGGTGACCGTGTTCACGCTCACGGGGCTCCTCATGCTGGGGCTTCCGGAGGGAAGGGCCGGCGTCTTGAGCGGCCGGAGCATCCGGCGCTGCGACCTTGAGATGCTGATCTGGCGGGCAATGGAGATCTCGACGGCAGCCTTCAGCGCGTCGTCGGGCTCCGACTCGTCAAGGGACGGCTTTGTGACGTGCGTGTGGGCCGACGAGACGGATGCGGGCGATCGGTCCTTGGCGCTCGGGGCCGCGCTCGAGGGCGCCGTAGAGTCGGACGGCGTAATCATCTGCCACGCGGGCTCGTAAATGGTCGGCTTCAGCTGCTCCGTCAGGTGAATCTCCTCCGACTCCCGATCGTCGGTGGGAGAGTCGAGGAGGAGACCGGACTGCTCGGGCCCAAAGGCGAAGCCGATCGGCACGTCCTGGGGCGCCCTCATCGAGTCGGGGGTCGCGGTCCTGGCTCGTCCCGAGGCCTCCGCCTTCGCGGCCTCGAGGTAGTAGCGGGGTCGCGGAGGGTCGAAGCTGGACCTTGACGGGGACGGGAACGGCGACGTGTGCGAGCGGTGGCGGGGCGAGGCGGGCGGGTTGTTGGCCGATTCCGAGGGTGTCGCCGGGAACAACGACAGCGAAAAGGCTGGCGACTTGAGAGGTTGCGGCGACGTCGCGCTCCTGCCCCTCATCCGCTCCTTCTCCTCCTCCTCCTTCATGACCTGGTCGTTAATCGTCTTGAGCCTATCCAGCGTGGCCTGCCGCCTCGCCAACAACGCGGACGCCCCCTGTTGTTGCTGCTGTTGCTGCGCCTGCTGTCCCGGCGGTCCTTGCGGCTGCAGGATGCCGCCAAACATGACGCTATACCGCTCCATGTTGATGCTCGGGATCTCCACGTCCAAAAAGTTTCCAGCGGGCTTCGTCGGGAGCGCGGGCACATGCATCGATACGTGCACCGGCGCCGAAATGTCCGACTTCTTCACCTTTTCACGGGTCGACCGTGTTGACGCCATCCTGCTGAGCAGCTTTGGCGGCTTCTGCTCCTTCGGGCTGGGCGGCGCGGCCATCGGCCCCGCGGTTTGTGAGCGGACCATGGCCGGTTTGCTGTCCCCCGGTCTCCTCTCGGTGTTTCGTCTTCCCAGATCAGTCGCCTGGTTGCTCGGCGGTAGGCTCTCAAACTCCCGGGTGCTGGCCATTGGTTGCTGGAGGTTCATTGGTTGTGAGATGGCGACGGGTGATGAGGCGAGCCTCTTGCTCTTTGAGCGTCCAAACAACTTCCATCGCCCCGACTTCTGTTTCGGCGCCGGTACGGGTTCCGCGGTCTCCATCGGCGAGGGTAGAGGCTCTGGTGAGGCTCTCATCATGCTGGTGCTCATGCTCGACGCCTGCGGTTGCCAGTCGTTTCTCGGCTGTGCGGGTGGTGGCGGCGGCGACGAGAATTCGGGCGGGATGTGAGTTGGGCTTCCTATTGCCATGCCAATCGCAATCGTTCCCATGTTGCTGTCCATCGAGTCTGGCGTCTGCGTCCTGACGGTGAATGTCCGAGCCGGTGAAAAGTCGCCGGGACTCTCTACCGGGGATGCTGGGTTGTCCCGTATCGGGATGTGGTACGATTTGAAGCCTCCGCGCGCCGACGACTGAGGCCTGATGTACATGTCATCCTTGGAAATCCGCCTGTCGGCAAAAGACCTGAAGCTGGCGGTGCTGTTGTTATGAGGGGAGAGCCCTCCGCTGGTGCTCGGCCGCTCGGCCATTGTTGATGATGCCTTGGAGCGAGGAGGTGTAGGCAGCGGGCGATGGCGGTACGTGTTACGAGCTTCGACGACGGCGGCGGCGGCGTCGGCGTCGGCGGCAGCACCCTCTGAGGAGAAAGAGGGCACGCTCTCGTTTTGAAAGAGGCTCGAGTCTTCCTTGGCCAGTTGGAAACTTGACACAAGACCCGGCTCCCCCAGGACGGGGGACTCTGGGCCGTGCGTCTGCGCACCACCGGGGGCCCCTCCACCAGTCCTCATGCTCTTCATAGATCTGGAACGGTTGACCAATTTGAACATGCTCCTCCAATGGTGCGTAGCAGGAAACCTCACAATGCTAGCGCCTGGCCGATCCTTGTTGACAGGGCTGGAAAGCAAGCAAAGCAGGCGGGCTGCCCAGGACGTGGAGCGGGGTGTTGGGTTTCGAAAAGGAGATGATGAGAGGCGATTTGCAGAACTAGCGGCCGGGAGAGACTTCCAGGTTGGATCGTAGTTTATCTCTCTGAGAAAGTAGAGGGAAATGGTTGGAAGAAAAAGGTTGATTGAGCGGGAAAAAAAACAAGACACACAGAGACCCGGCGAAAATAGAGAGTAGACCCAAAACCTCCCCAACCCGGTTGCCTGTCGTACCCATACGGCATGCAAAAGACAGGAGATGACCCAGACTGGGGGTCCCTTCGACTTAACTTTACTTTGATATCATTCACTCTCGAGAGTCGCCTCTCCCGCGGCCGGGCGACCCAGAGCCCGCAGCCCGCAGCCCAAGAAGCCCAGAAGCACTCTGTTCTCGCCCCCAGCACGCGACTCGCAACTTTGTCGCCTGTTTGAGATTGATAGGACGGATATTTTAGGGGGGGCTGATCAACACAAGGATGACGAACCTCCCATCCTGTCCATGGGGTGGTCTGTGGATCAAGGGTCCCGGTCGTTTGCGAACGATAAGTCGCGTATCTTCTGCGGTCGAGTGGAGGTTGTGCGGTTTCGTGTGTCAGACTAGCGAGAACTGTAGGGAAGACGGCGGCGAAGCATGATTAACGGAGTCGTCAGCTGCATGGCATGGGCGGCCGAGAGGTCCAGAAGCATTTCACGGTCTGATTTTGTTTTGACACTGCCGTGCGCCCAGGGCTGCTGGCTTGCTGGCTCGGGGGTCTTGTGATATGCAGTACCTGCAGTAGGTGCCGGAGGGAGGGGAGCTCGAGAATAGCCTCATGTTGTGTTGCCGCGTCTGGTCATCTCCCGCCCCCATCGCGCGCGGCGGTTGCCGGCGAATGACCCAACATCGTTCTGGGTCCCTCATCACAAACCTCATCAGAGGCAATTTGAGTTCAAATTGACGACGCCCACAACCTGACGGTGCCCTTGTCGAATCGTGCCGTACCATTCCGCTAGAGGGGGGAGGGATTCGAGAAGGATGGAAAGAAGAGGAGGGTCGCATCCGTGCTCGGTCTGCGGGACATCCTTGGTTGGTTGGGTTACCCCGGCCCGGGGGACAAGCCTCAGGGTCGTCCCTGTCAGACCGCACGTCCTCTCGTCGTGGTTACGCCCCGACCGCTCAAGCCCAAGCCTCGATGAAATCGATCCGCAACGCTGGGGGGAAGGACGGCTTTGCGACAACTGACCGTTGACGTCGTCGTCGCCTGGTTGGTCTCCATGGCGAATTGGACTGCCGGGATCCGAAGATGAAGCGATGGAACTGGCCCGTCTGGACGTCGCTTTGCTGCCCACATGCCTGAGTCGCCTGCCGTCCAGACTCGCCGTGCATCGTCAACGGTCGCCGGGCTGAAGATTGCTTCATTTGAAGTTCAATCAAACAACCGATGCCGCCAGCGAATGAGAGTTACACGACGTTGCAGTCGCGGATCCTCTCCGCGCCAAAGACTCATTAACGGCGCCCTGCCCGCGCATACTCCGATCCCCCACTCTGACATCAAACGGGTCTCTGGTTTAAAATGAAAGGATCGGAGACGTTGTTGCTCATCCGGCTTCCCACCAACCACGGTCCGCAATCAAGGAAACAACCTTCTCACACAAGCTCTCTGCCCGCCCAGCGTGACGCCAGCGCAGTGCAGTGTAATCTCTCAAATCTTGGAGATTTCCCGGCTGATTCTCCCACCGCTTGTTTTCTGTTGGACCCATGGGCCGTTGCCTTGCTGGACCTCCGGGCATAACAACCCGTTGTGTCGCTCGTGCCGTCCTTGCAATCGACCAACAATGCGATGGCAATGCGATGGCAGCGCGATTGCGACCGGCTCGCACTGCTGGCCAAGCCACCGCGCGTGTTCGCACCCAAGAGGTCGGGTGCTGTTGGTGCACGCCGTTGCTGAATAAGTCCGCCGCGAACCGTGTCAGCATCCCAACGACTCTGTGGGCTCCTAGCCCTTAGGGCCGTCGTCTCGTGTATGCGACCCGGTATTCCAGAGTGGCAGGTATACCGTCCCAAAAAAGCGCACTCTGACCGCGGAGCATTAAAAAGCGTCGTATTGAAACAGACTTCCTGGGTCACGAAGCGCTATTGCCAGGCGTCGTCGAATATTGGGGGTTTGGCTCTCGCTTGCTTTTAGGCGTGCTCTGTCTGCGCTTGGGCCGTGTGCTGCTTGCTTCTCCCAGTCGACGATAGACCCATAGTCGGATCATGTCCTGGGTTCTTGAGATGACATTTACGGATCGCTGCACATCCAGGAGCTCTGCGCGCGACAAGGCTGAACGTGACCGGGCTTCTGAGGGAGTCAGGAGGACTGGAGGATGCAACGAGGCTGCCCAGCGAGTGGGTTTCATGTGTCTTGTCCGGGGTCGACAGCCGACTGATCGTCTCAAGATTGCAAATTCGCGGGATCTGCTTTGTGGCCGGAGCGCAGACTGTCGATAAGAAAAAGCTCCGACGTTCCAGTCGCTTCTGATGTCGTCTATGATGAAGGTGTCAAAGTCTGCCCCTGGAGGCGCCCTAGCCAAACATGCCCTGGTAGCGTCCCTGGTCACATCCAGGAGTCTGGCGGACGCCAGGAGAACCAAACTTGTTTGATGGTGAACCACAAACCAATCTTCCAAGGTTCGTCTGAAGGCGCCGACTTTATCGCTGCTACCGGGCGGTTGATGTGGTGATGGTTAGTTCAGCGCTTCTAAGCCGTGAACCTGCATGCGCTGGGAGCCGCAGCACCGTCCGAGGGCTGGATGCGTCGACCCAAGGGAAGAGGCTCAAGAACCACGCTTCCTCTGCCGACGTGCTTCTCGATGCCCAGCCGCAATCCTCCCGTCCATTCTTCAGCCTTGTATGCCGGTCGTCTGGCTGTGTGAAAGACACAGGTGTTGAGGCCGATGGGATGACAAGAGGATCAGGCAAGGAGTGATGCTGCGGATTCAAGCGTAACGCAGCCCCAGCCGACGATCCGTTGACAATGTTGCATCCCGTCCGCCGTTCCTGGGAGAGCTGAAAGAAACAATTCGCCTCACCCTTCTGCAAGCATCCGATGAGCAAGAGGCCCAGGCCTTTTTCGTTATTTGCAGCAGCCCACAACGGAGAGCAAGCCGGCTGGCCCAGAGCAGACCGGGACCGAGCTGGACGGAAAGCATGCCATCCAACGGAGGGCGATTTGTGCTCCAGACCACGAGCGGCAGCGCGAGCGGACCTCCGTCGTCGGTGCCTTGATGTTGCCCTCTTGCAGATGCGCGCCGTCAGTCCCAATGGGGTGTTGAGTTCACGCAGTTGCAGGCCTGAGAGTCTGCCGGCAGGCTTGGCACGACATGGGGCTCATCGTGGCTGGCGGCAGCAGGTGGCTGATGCATTGCCGTGGCGCAAATTCATGCATTCTGAAGCGGAATCGCGTCACTGCCGGCCGCACGGTGCTTAGACAGGCCAATTGGCACAGTCACCCCGCCATCACGTGATGGCAGCATTTGGCGGGGCAGAGTCCGCAGTGAAGCTGGACGAAGGCAGTTCCTTGTTGTCGCAGCCGTCTTTTTGGGGGCGGACGCTAAATGGTGTTTGCCGTGGATAGCAGGCCTGTTAATACTGCTAACGTGAGTCGAGGTAGGGAACCATCTTGCGGTAAGATATTTGGCCCCAAAGGCGGTGATGGAATGGCCCGGCGGATCACCCCTATGGAGACCGGCCGAGCTTTCTCCCCCCCTGGTGGTGGAGGACGATTGGCCGAGGTCACAATGGCAACGGTCAACAAATGGACTGACCGACTGACTGACTGATGAGGCTGGTGATGTGTGCAAGCAGACGATGCTCCTGCCGCTGCTACTGTTTTTGTTGCTGCTGCTGCTGCTCCTGAGCCCGGGCCTGCGGGATAAACACAAATGCCAAAATGATGGGATCAGGTACACTGCAGGTAAGGTAGCAGAACACAAAGCCGGCTAGGGAGGCGGTGGTCGCCTGGGAAGCCAGACAGAGTCACCACCCCGCCGCATGAATCCAGGACAAAGCAGCCCGTGGCAAGTGGAAGGGACCAGAAACACTTGTATTCGCCTAGTTGCAACCCGTGCTGAAGAAAGTACCCCGCCCCGCGGCGCTCGCCCCGGTGACGACCTCTCAGTTCATAGCGGTGTACCCCGCCCGGCCCGCTGGACCTAAAAATTGATGTATCTCTAAGAGGGGCAGGTCAGGCAGGAGGGCGACCAAGAAACACATCTCAACCCGAAATTCCTCCCTCCAATATCCCACCACACCGCGTCAAAGCTTGGGCTGCTGCACTCACACTCTTCGACTGAAGCTTCTTGTCTCCTTTTTTCCCGTATTTGCATCAGCGAGCACCAAGTTTCCTTCCACTCCTTCACCATGTCGTGGCAAGGTAAGCAGAGCAACGGCCCAGCTCTGTCCAGAGAGAGGCCATCCCCGAAAACCCCCACCTTTGCCGAAACAGAGAGCTAACCTGTCGCCTTCGTCACAGCTTATGTTGACACCAGGTAGCCGCGCACCAGAGCTCTCCCCTTTTCCCATCCCGCGCCCGTCCCGTCACGAGCACCCGATGGGAGTTACACGGACGATCATGGCTGACATGGACTTTGCAGCCTCGTTGGCACTGGCCACATTGACAAGGCCGCCATCATCAGCATCGCTGGCGACAGCACGTGGGCGTCGACCGCCGGCTTCACGGTATGTCGCGGTGTTCTGTCCCTAAACATGCCGCCGGATGCTGACTACGCTTGTCCACATAGCTTGCCGCCAATGAGATGAAGGTCATCTCCGACATTGTCAAGGGAGACGCCGGCGCCAAGGACAAGGCCTTTGCCGATGGTCTCTACATTGCCGGTGACAGATTCGTCATGGCCCGCGCCGAGGACGGCACCATCTACGCAAGAAAGGTTGGCATCACAAGCCCTGAGAAGAGGCCCAGGGGACTGACATCAAGCCAGGGACGTGACGGCATCGCCGTCGCCAAGACCAACCAGGCCATCCTCGTCGGCCACCACAACGAGAACCAGCAGGGTGGCAACGCAAACCAGGCGGTGCAGAAGCTGGCGGACTACCTGGTCGGTGTCAACTACTAAGTGTTGCGAGCGTGGAAGAGCGGCGGAGGGTGGACGGGCGGCCCATCTGAAGGCGCCCTTGGAGTTTTACCGTGTGCGAGGCAGGCTGGGCATCTCGCTCCCACACACACGACGAGGATTTGACATACGAATCGACGAACACTAGATTAGCAAGAGTTACCAATGGCGGAATCTTTGCTTAGCCACGGCCATGTCCGGAACAGAGTCCCTGAATCATGCACCACAAGGTAATGCGGAGTGCTTTCGTACAGTCATTATCTTGACACCTTGGCCAAATCGATACACCTCGACGTATGATACATGTTCTGGAGAGACCAACACGCTCAAATCCAGCTGCGCCGTTCTGTGGTATACAACCCGTCTATACGCTGTTCCGTTCCGATAACCCATAATTGCGCCGTAACTTCAGAGATCGTGTCATCAGGTAGACAGACTTCAGATATCGTGTGATTAGACAGGCAGCTCCGCGTTTCGTCGACCAACACCAGACCGGTCGACCGCGACCCCAATGTACGGTCCAATGACGGGTATGTTCCTCGCGAACGCCGCAATTGTGCCCAAAAAGTCACCAAAAAGAACCATTATGCCGTAGAGCTCAACACAGAAGCCGATGAGGGGCCACCGCAACAGGATCAGGGCGAGACCGCCAAAGAAGGCCGCCGTTCCCTTTGCCTTTTGTTTACGGGCGAAGAAGAGGAGCGTCTTTTGCGGTCCGATGATTATCGTCAGGCCGATTAGGAAGAGGATCTGCGGCCGCGTCGGTCAGTTGGGTCGCACGTCAGCGTTTCAAGGGGGTAGATCGTACGTTTCCCATGGCAAGCCTGCAACAGGCCGTCAGCTTCATCTCAACAGACTCGTGTGCGGGAAAAGGGGGACGTACATGGCTCGGTCAAAGAAGAGCATCACTCCTCCGATGAGGAAGAAACCTCCTGAACCGGCGTCAGCTCCGATAGACCACCAATGCGCCAGAGCTTGGATAGGGCGCAAACCTACCACCAGAGCAGAAAATGACCCCAATCTCTGTAATTCATGTCAGCGACCGTCCAGAACGGGCAGCGAGGCCTAGGCAGCGTCGTGATGCGGCCGGCGTGGAGCTCCGCGGGTCGACGTACTCTGGGAATCCGACATCCACATCGACGCCATCTTGCACGGTTTGGTTGACTGTCGAGTCGGGTGGGCTTGGTTTGATATCGGGGTTTGTTCGAGTGATTCAATGCGAGCCACAGGTGACTTGTGACACTCGACGCGCAAACGTATGAAGGCCAAGTAGTTGTTGATCTGTAGCTTACTGGCGGGAGCAGACGACAACTTTTAGATTTAAGACCAGATCACTACTGCACTAGGAGGAAACAAAGCCAGCGTTCCTGCCACGAAACAGGGGTTGCGCTGCTGCTGCCCGCGCTGTCACGGATCGTTTGGGGGATGGGACAACGCGCTAAAAATGCGCTGTGAGGGTTGGCCACGGCATTTAGACCAATGGCAGCGGGGGGCAGACCTCGGTGGGGGTCGTGGGTGCTGATTTAACCCACGCTCACCTGTGGAAAATTTAGACGCTTCAACTCACCATCCTCACAACCATGGAGCTCACAACGACCGTCGCATGAACCGCCAGCTGGCGAGATTGCGGTTTATGCCAACGTGCTTCTCGACGCGGCATGTTTGTTGACATTTGTCTGCTGAAGCTGCAACTCAAACACGAGTTGACGGGCACACGAGCAAGCTCACAATATGGGCAGTCGATGGACGCGGCAAGTGTCACTTCATCTAATTCGCCGCGGCGGCCGCAGCCTCGAGCTATGGCAACTGAGTATCGTCTCCCATACGTTCTCGGTAATCTGTCGATTCACAGGCGGAGAACAATCTCTGATCACGATTAAGCCGGAGTGTCATCTAGCACCCTTTGCTGAAAGGCGGAGGGCTGTGTAGTTGAGATTTGACTTTGTTGGTCGCACATATCCCAGCTGGTAGTACTGTTTTGAATACAATTCATTTTCCATGCTCCAAGTCCCAAACAACGCGATGCCGTAACGCCTTCCCCGTGACTCCGTAAAGCAGATAACCCATTGACGCCAACTTATTTGAGAACGGTGTGCGCTCCACGCGCCTCCAGGAACTGCTCCGCCGCGCCCTGGGGCAGCGTGCGAATCAGGCCAAACACCTCCTTGTCGTGGTACCGCAGCCGCGTCTTGGGGTCGAGGTACGGCGCGGGCAGGCCCGTGATGTCGCAGTACCGCTTTGTGTGTGCCAGTGACGGCGCCGACTCGATGTTGGTGTACGTGACGGCCGGCGCGGCGCCTCCGTTGGGCTTCAGACTCTTCTCGAGAACGAGCTTCGACAGGCTGCGCGAGGCCTGGGCCAGGTTCGGCGGCAGGCCAGAGGCGTCCTTGCCGGTGGCCGGCGTCGAGGTGCCGCTCGTGGAGAGGCCGTCGTCTTGCTGACCGGCAGCCGGGGTGCCGGCGCCGCTGTTGTCGTCCTGTTGCGGGGTCGCCATGGCCGAGGCTTCGCGACGGGAGGCATCGCCGAGGATGGTCTTGATGTTCTTGTTGCGGCGCTGGTTGGGGCGCCAGGATGGGTTGCGGAAGCTCTTGTGGATTGAGTGGATGTCGATCTCGTCGAGGAGGGCCTGGTGGGCGATTTGCGCCTCCGTCTGCTCTTTTGGTGCCGCCATCGTGTTCTTTTCGTAGCTTGGGTTGTGTGAGATGTTTCGCGCAGGTCGTTACAGGCGTCGCGGATCGAATTGAGGGCGACGGGATGATGGTGCTGCTGATCGAGGCAGTGGCAGGGGAGCTTATTCTGCCGCGGCTTACCGCTTATTCGGTGTGCTCGGTGTACTCGGGTGCCTCTGCAACTGTCCTGGCGGGGGTCGTAGCGTCAAGTAAACAAACGAACCACCTTCACACACAGCAGCGAAAGCAAGATGGTAGGCCAATGTGATGAGTCTATTAGTTTCTACAAGCTGACGCCCGAACAGGAGAGCCCACACGAGCACCAGCAGAACCTTCTGCTTTCCCGCATCATCACCAATGTGGTATGTTTACCAGGCAGACTGCGCAGCATCGCGACTTACACGACGCAGGAGAAACTCAACGAGGCCGTTATGGTCATGAACAAGTCCTTGCAGGTAATGAAATCACATTGACATGCAGACGTCCGGTCTGACTGTGACAGGAAATCAACATCCAAAATATGAACGTCGAGCTTGTCGCTCAAATGTTCAAGAACTACCAGTCCAACGTCCTCTTCCATCTTGAGGGTATGTCCGCCTGCATCTCTTCTGCTTACATCTACTCATTCGCATTAGCGACGGACAACTTGAAGCCGCCTTCATAGATTTTCTGGGATTTTCTTTGGGGTGATGGATGATCAATGAGATATGACGAGACGAGCTGGCGAGAAGACCAAGAGGTCGTGGCAGAATACCCCAGAAGAGAGTGAATACACAATACGGTTAAACTGATTGACTTTATGCTATTTCTGTGAACAAAATGCATCCACAGATGTGGTCACCTCCCCCAGACTCAAGTCGTGCTGTCCGAGCACCTGTGACCACTAACAGCTACGCCGCAGCACGTTCCGACCCACTAAATTTTACAGCCTCGTAGCTAAGGTAGCCTCGCAAGACGGCGCATCGCGACTTGAACACGACGACCGAACCGACGCATTGAACGAGACACAACTGACGCGGCCCCTTCGAGACAACCTGCAACGGCCCAGACGATTGGATCCCATACGCTTCGAATCGACTCACACCCCCGGCATGGTCAGTCGCATCGCGACAGCCTAGACCCTTCAACGAGCATCGCGATGGCGCCCTCAGCGACCGAGGAGCTCCCTCCTCTCAAGGGACCGCCCGAGAGGACGTATCCGCCCGCCAAGATATTCCCGGTGAAGGAGGCAAAGTTTGAGAAGCCGATTGCCGTACAGCATGACGGAAGAGAAAAGGCAGCGGCGCACCCGGGTGCAGCCATCGTCATCGACAACGGTGAGCACGACTACAGCGAGCAAGGATTGCCCGCCCGCTGACAATCACAGGTTCATCGGCAGTGCGCGCGGGCTGGTCCTTCGAAGAGAAGCCCAGGCTGAACATCCCCCCGATCATGTCCAAATACCGCGACCGGAAGGCTGGCAAGACGTACTCCTTCGCCGGCAGCGATTGCTACGCCGACACGACGGCGAGGAGCCACATCCGATACGCTTTCGAGCAGGGGACGGGCATCGTCAGCAACTGGGATGTCATGGAGCACCTGCTCGACTACATCTTCCTCAAGCTCGGGCTCAACGGCGACGATGCGTCCATAGACGTGCCCATCGTCATGACGGAAGCGGTCGCCAACCTGCCGTACTCACGGAAATGTAAGCCTTGCAACCAATCTGGAGACTACACCTCTAACGCATCACAGCCATGACGGAAATCGTCTTTGAATGCTACGGCGCGCCATCCGTGGCGTACGGCATCGACTCCCTCTTCTCCTACAGACACAACAAAGGCAACACGGGCATCGTGGTCTCTTCGTCCTACACCTCCACGCACGTAATACCCGTCTACAACCACAAGGCCATGTTGAGCCAGGCCACAAGGCTCAACTGGGGCGGCTGGCACGCAGCCGAGTACCTGCTCAAGCTCATCCGGCTCAAGTACCCGGCCTTCACGGGCAAGCTCAACGTGTCGCAGGCCGAGCACATGCTGCGCGACCACGCCTACGTCTCGGAAGACTTCGACAACGAGCTGCGGGGCTACCTGGACTGGACGGGCCTCGAGGACCGGGACATTGTGATTCAGTACCCGTTCACGGAGGAGGTCGTCGTGCAAAAGACCGAGGAGGAGCTGGCCCGCATCGCCGAGCGCAAGAAGGAGAGCGGCAGGCGGTTGCAGCAGCAGGCGGCCAAGATGCGGCTGGAGAAGCTCATGCGCAAGGAGAACGAGCTGGAGCACTACAAGAAGCTGCAGGCCAAGCTGGAGCAGCAGACCAACAAGAAGGAGGTGCGCCGGCTCCTGGACA